GTTGTTGTTCTTCTGTATACTAAGTCCTGAAGTTTGAGTTTCAAATTGAAAAAGTTAAGGACAGGAAGTCCTTAAGTTAGAATTATAGATTGAAAAGTTAAGGACATAAGTCCTTAATTTTTGACTTGCAGGTTAAAAAGTTTAGGACAGGCAGTCCTTAACTTTTAATTCGAAGTTTAAATGTTACGGACAGGCGGTCCTTAAGTTTTGACTTGCAGGTTAAACAGTTTAGGACAGGCAGTCCTTAACTTTTAAATCCAGGTTTAAATGTTAAGGACTGGCAGTCCTTAAGTTTTAATGTCTGGCTCAAAAGTTAAGGACAGGCAGTCCTTAAGTTTTAATTCCAAGTTCAAAAGTTAAGGACTGGCAGTCCTTAACTTTTAATTCCATGTTCAAAAGTTAAGGACAGGCAGTCCTTAAGTTTTAATTCCAAGTTCAAATGTTAAGGACTGGAAGTCCTTAACTTTTAATTCCAAGTTAAAATGTTAAGCACACTTAGTCCTTACCTTGGTCTTCACTTACAGTACACCTCTTCTTAATTATACAAGGAGTGTTTTATAACGTATGTCCTCAGTTTCCCATTCTCTTGACTTGCAGGATGGAAACATATGCATTATAGTTGCTTTTAATGGTAGATGGACTGAAGACTATAAATATCTTGATCATCAAACAAAGCTTTTTCTAGTACCTGAGTCAATTCGGTTTGAAGATTTCATTAAACAGATCTTTGAGCTAATTGAATTGGATAGAGAAAAGTTTGAAGCAGTGATATGGTTGATATCAACCTTGGAACAAGCAAAGGAATGCTTGTATCCAAAGATTCTGATCTTCACACATGTATAGAGTTGCTAAAAACACATTCACTCTTCAAGGGCTGTCGTTTCATAGTTGATATTTCGGAAAGAGTTTTTCCATCAACAAGCAATGAACATGTCAACACAGAAACTCAACATGACAATCAAGACAAATGCCAACAGATAATGGAAATAGATATGGTTGAAGCTCAACCATTAAATGAAGAGGTGCTTCAAACATTTGATTCTATTCAAGTAGAAGGACAAAGCATTATAGAGATTGACAACGAACAAGCTTTGGGTATTCAAGTCTTAGAGAGTGCACCGGTAATCGAAGAAGTTGCTGAAAAAACCTGTACTCAAATAACTAGACGAAGATCAAATTTGAAACAAAAAGAATCCCCAACTACGATATTAAGAGAAAATGCTTCGTTGGATGAAATAAAAGTTGGATCAGTACTTGACAAGAAGAAGAGTATAATTAACTGTTTTTCCAATATAGCAATCAAAGGACATTTTGAATTCAAGGTTGTTAGATCAAGCTCAACAAGATATTCGTTGACATGCAATAATGATAGGTATTGTTGGTTTGTGCGAGCTTTCAGAATTAAAGATTCAACACTGTTCAAGATAGTAAAGATTGAGAAAAAGCATGACTGCTCTGTTAACACTATGAAAGCAGATCAAAGGCATGCTACTTCAAAGTTGATTAGTGGTTACATTATCGACAATCTTCGGGACCCAAGATTTGAAGTTACACCAGCTTTTGTCATGGCAGAGATGCAAAAATTGCATGGACTAGACATTGGATATCACAAGGCGTGGCGTGCTATTCAACATGCTTCCGCTTTAATAAGAGGAAGTCCCGAAGAGAATTATGAATTATTGTCTTCATACTTGTATATGATGACAAGTAAAAACCCGGGAACTTATACTAACATAAAGATAGACGACAATAACAGGTAAAAAATTTAGGACATGCTATCTTTAACCTTGTTAACTTTTGAGTTGTAACCAGAAGTTGAGGACTGGCTGTTCTTAAGTTTTGAACTTGTAATTCAAAGTTAAGGACTGCCAGTCCTTAAGTTTTGAACTTTGAAATCAAAGTTAAGGACAGAATGTCCTTAACTTTATAACTTGAAAATGAAAGTTAAGGACTGCCAGTCCATAAGTTTTGAACTTTGAAATCAAAGTAAAGGACATCATGAACTTAACTTTATAACTTGGAAATGAAAGTTAAGGACTGACTGTCCTAAATTTCAGGTATTTTAACCTTGTTTTATATTATATTTTCAGGTTTGTTTATATGTTTTATGCATATGGATCATCAATAGCTGGTTGGAATCATTGTAGACCAGTGATTGCTGTTGATGCAACTTTTTTGAAGTCAAAATATCGTCGTGTTTTAATGATTTCAGTTTCAAAGGATGCAAATAACCAAATTTTCCCATTAGCCTTTGGAATAGCAGAATCTGAAAATAATAATTCCTATGAGTGGTACTTTAGTCAGCTTCGCAATGTAATTGGGAGCCGTGAGAATTTAATTTTTTTATCAGACAGGCATCAAGCTATTGCAAATGGCATTGCAAAGGTATATCCTGAAAGCCATCATGGGATTTGCATCTATCATTTGGAGCAGAACCTAAAGCGAAGGAAGGTGAAAAGTGAGGTCATAAAACTATTCCAAAGTGCTGCAAGAGTATACAAGCGCAAAGAATTTGACCTATACATGTCAGATATAGCAAATGTAGATAAGAAGACTTATGACTACTTGATGGAAGAACCACCGGAAAGATGGGCACGTTCTTGTAGTCCACGACGAAGATATGACATGCTCACAACAAACATAGTTGAGTCGATGAATTCTGTCCTATTAGAAGCAAGGGAGCTGCCTATACTAAGAATGATGGATTTCATTCAAGTGAAGCTACAACGTTGGTTTTATGAAAGAAGAAATAAAGCAGAAGGAACATTTTATGATGTTTCTTGTTGGGTAGAGCAGGAATTGAAGAAAAGAATAGATTTAGCATTTACTTTGAATGTAAGTATTATGTTCTATGTTTATATTATAATTTTAACAATATTTAACATAATGTACTCACTTATAATTTTTCAACATTGAAGGTCTTCCCTGTTGATTCATGGCGTTCTAGAGTTGAAGAAGAAGAAATAACTTTCTTGGTGGACTTAAACAAAAGAACATGTGATTGTTTTCAGTTTCAATTTGATGAATTACCATGCATACATGCAATTGCAGCTATCGAGAAGAGAAACATCAAGAAGTCAAACTTTTGTTCGCACTGGTACTTAAAGGAATCTTGGCTAAAAACATATGAAAGACAAATACATCCTGTAGGACATACTGATTCTTGGATTGTACCAGAGAGTGTTAAGTCACAAATTGTTAAACCTCCAGATTTCAAAGTGCCACCAGGTAGAAAGCAAAAGAAAAGGCATATTCCTGCTACCGAGCCATCAAAAATAACATTCAAATGTGGTCATTGCAGAAGAATTGGTCATAATAGAACATCTTGTATATATTCTCCTGCTCTCCATCCATTTTCAAGAAAGCATAGAGAAGATTAGATATATCCACTTATGTTTATCGACTCTTTTTAGTTTTTGCCATAAATTGGATTCATTTAGATTATTCTTATTTGAGCAGATGTCTGAATTTTGAAAATTTCTTTCTTCTTACCTTGTTTTTGTTTCTTTTGAGTTCAAAGATTAAAGTTAAGTACAGGAGTCCGTAAGTTCGACTTGCAATTTCAAAACTTAAGGACAGTCTGTCTGTATGTCCTTAACTTTGAGTTTTAAGTTCAAAACTTAAGGACAATGGTCCTTAAGTTTGACTTGCTAGTTAAAAAGTTATAGACAGGAAGTCCTTAACTTATACTTCAAATTTGAAAACGTAAGGACTTCTGTCCTTAACTTTCATTTAAAAGGTTAAAAGTTAAGGACAGGAAGTCCTTAACTTATAGATTCAAGTTTAAAACTTAAGGACTGTATGTCCTTAACTTTGAGTTTTATGTTCAAAACTTAAGGACAACGGTCCTTAAGTTTGATTTGCTTGTTAAAAAGTTAAGGAAGTCCTTAACTTATATTTCTAAGCTGAAAACTTAAGGACTCCTGTCCTTAACTTTGATTTTAAAGATTAAAAGTTAAGGACAGGAAGTCCTTAACTTATAGCTTCAATTTTAAAACTTAAGGACTGTATGTCCTTAACTTTGAGTTTTAAGTTTAAAACTTAAGGACAACGGTCCTTAAGTTTGACTTGATGGCTAAAAAGTTATGA